CGGTTACACGCACGTATCATATAAATATACTTATTATTTATATCATATAAGTATATAATAATATAATATATATGAGGTATTCCATGCCAAATGAGTCAACGGCTGAGCCTCACCCTCTTGAAAATTGATGGCGATTTTTTCTACGATTGGGGGGCTTGAAAAACTATCTCTCAAATTTTTTCAAATTTTTTTGATAGCCCAGTTCGGAGACATTTTTTTTTTTCAAATTGTTAGTTTTTTTTACAATAACTCGAGTTCTACTCATCCGATTTCGATTTATTAGGGATCAAAATTTTCCATTTTTCACCATCTATAAGAATGTTTTTTGTCCAAATTTTTTCCTATTTCTAGATGCTCGAAATAACAAATTTTCGAGAAAAAAAAGTTGAAAAACTTGAATTTGGCTAATTACGTTACCGTTGATTATTTTAATTTTTTTCTTCAGTAATTCCTATATCAAAACAAAAATTTTGAGCCGTCATACATGTTGGGTTTCGTCTTAGACCTATTTTATTTGTAATTTTTTATTCTCAAAATTCCGCGAATTCGGTCAAAATACCCCAAATTGCCATTGGTTGACTTTGATTATAAACAGTATGAAGTAAATTTAAATATATACCTATATATTATATATTTTTCGATACATAATTAAAGTCGTTTTAAGGTGTTTTCACCAAATTTTCGCAATTTTAAGAAGAAAAAATTGAAAAAAAAAAAGATCCTGGATGGAACCGAACATGTATGACGGCTCAAAATTTTCGTTTTCATTATAAGAATTACTGAAAAAATAATTAAAATAATCGGCCGTAACGTAATTGGCAAAATTCAAGTTTTCCAACTTTTTTTTCGAAAATTCGGTATTTCGAGCATCAAAAGTTTGGAAAATTTTTTTTAAAAAATATTCTTATAGGTGGTGAAAGATGGAAAATTTTGCCCCCTAATAAACCGAAATCGGATGAGTAGAACTCGAGTTATCGTAAAAAAACGGAACAATTTGAAAAAAATCATATTTCCGAACTGGGCTGTCAAAAAAATCAGAAAAAATTTGAGAGACAGTTTTTCAAGCTCCCTAATCGTAGAAAAAATTGCCATCAATTTTCGAGAGGGTGAGGGTTAGCTGTTGACTCATTTGGCATGGAATACCTCATATAATAAGTATATTATATACTTGAATGGGGGATGGGTGTTTCAATTTGAAGATGATTAGTTCGTATTAGCCCGGGTTATACCAAGCGAAGTGTGAGAATGTAAGGGTCAAAACGTGGAGGTTAAAAAATGAGGGTCAGAATATAAATGTAAAAAAGTGGGTGTCAGGCAATGAGAGTCATATAATGGCTAAAAGCGGTGATCAAGCATAATATATGACTCATATTTGGACCTCCATTGCCTGACACCCACTTTTTTTACTTTTATATTCTGACCCTCATTTTTTAACCTCCATTTTTCACCTCTTTTTGGCCCTTACATTCTGACACTTAGTGCCTGAACCTTATAGTACACTTAAGGATGTATTACACCCTTTTCGCCAAAATTCACGTTTTTTGAATTTTTCTGGTAAATTGTTGATCGCATTGACGTGATAAAATATACCGTTTTTGCGTTTTATCATTAATTAATGACTCACGGAGTTTCACGATCGTGCAATCATTTTCCTGCGTTTTTTCTAAAACTTTTCGGAAATTGACTATACTTTAGAAAAAATGCAGGAAAATGATTGCACTATCATGAAACTTCGTGAGTCAATCAATGATGATAAAACGCAAAAACGGTATATTATTTTGCGGCAATCCGATCAATAATTTGCTAGAAAAATGAAAAAAAAAGTGAATTTTGGCCGAAAGGGTGTAGTATATCCTTAAGACGGCTTGCTAAAACCCGGCCTGATATAAAAAAATCATCTTCGAAGTGAAATACTCATCCCCCAATTGAGTATAAAATATACTTGAAGCAAGTATATTATATACTCGAATCAAGAATAATATACTTGCATCAAGTATTCTTGATTCGAGTATAAAATATGCTTGATTCAAGTATTTTTTTCCGTGTACATACACACATTTTCTAAAAACATCATGTCTTGACGTTTCGTGACATTCTACATAATTTTCAAGCAAAATTAGAAGATCGTAATAATGGACGATTACAAAGCTTTCATTCAGAAGCAAAATAATATCAGTAGGATAGAATTCTTCAGAAACCGTTGTATATTATTTATCCCACTGACTATTTCAAAATTCTAACATTTACTTTTTCTGATTTAAGATGCTCCTCACCATTTCACCATTTCTCTAAAAAAAATTCCCATCGACTCCTTCACATTACGTAAATGTGATTTTCAGTGGTTTTATTCGGTAAAAGTGATAATCAAGATTTCGAATGCACATCCCACGTACGAAATGCCAGTGTTGTAGAAACGGGCCAAGCCTGGCACAAGCCTGGGCTTGCCAAGTCTGGGCGCCCAGGCTTGGACCGAGGTTCGGCTATCCCTGGGNGAATCGTTAGAATTTTCGAATTAAATTAGGTGAGACAGGTGTTTTAATTATTCGAATTCACTGAGATTCATCGGTGATTAAATGTGAATGTGAGGGGATAAATCAAAGAGCCCTTTAGTATTCCAAATTCTCTCATTTTCGAATGCTAAAAGATCTTGAATTTCGATAAGATCGGAACCGGGAAAATTTTTCTGTTGCCGTGGTTTTCGGTAATTAGAATATTTCCTTTTCACTTTTAGGTCCGATACTTTATAACGATAGAGGAGATCGTGTCAATGTGTTCTCAATTTATTTATGTATGCAACAACTCTGAGACTTAATAAATCAAAAGTTGAGAAAGGTCAACGAGGAATTCCGAATTAATTAAGTAGAGATCTACAGGTGCAATGTGACTGTCACGACACCTTTTCCACGCTTTTCTCCGAAGAGAATGTGGACAATAAAACAAGTACACCCAGAGAACAGCTTTTATTCAAATTTAAACTTGTTTTTTATTGCTCCGAATGAAAGTATTGAAATCGTTCCTCACCTGCTTATTTATCTGTGTTTTTATTCACACGAAATCATTTTTTAGAAAATAGAAACAATGTTAAATTAGTAAATTTGAATATGAAAACATTATTAGTTAAAAAGAAGGTATTTTGAAAATAAAAAAAAATACAATAACTCGAGTTTTACTCATCCGATTTCCATTCCAAAAAAGGGGTGTATTTAACTACATGGGTGTAGGTATGTGATGAATGAATTTCTGTGGTTCCCGGTAGCTTAGTTGGTAAGAGTGCCCGGCGCGTATCTGGGAGACCCGGGTTCGATTCCCGGCTGGGCAAAGCGGAAATTTTTTCTCTCTAAATTCGAATTCTCTTAGAATTTTTTTGTGCTGGCGATGGGTGTATTTATATCACGAGCCGAAGGCGAGTGATATAATCCCACGAGCTAAAAAACATTTTTTCACGAGTTACGAACAATATTTTTCATCACAATGTGGCGGAAATTGGACTTTTAGGCACGCGGAGCGTGCCGAAAAGTTCACTTTTCGTCACAGCGTGATGAAAAAATTGTTTTCTTCTGCATAACAATCTCATCGTGTTTGAAAGCAGAAAAATTCCATAAATTGCAGATAGAAAAAGCAACGGAGATGATTCCGCTTTATTCATCGCATAGTGATACAACCGAAGAAGTGGGACCCTGACCTCGGTGGTTAGTGTCTGGAGGCCGTGAGTGCACTTGTCAAGAGGCAGACCGTCGAGAGGAGACCAACAAAGAGCTGGAGTATAAGGCAAAGGCCACAGAACAGACAAGCCCATTTATTGCTCGATCACGAGTTTCAATGAATCTGATGCTCAAAGGAGAACACAATTTCACTTCGGTGGGCTCCAACACACATTAACGCCCTCTTCTTTATTCTCCATCCCATTGTCATGCTCAGCAGGTTGCCGGCTGCGGTAGCACACTCCAAATGACATAATTGTCATTTCGAAAATGCAGTTACATCGCCGCATAATTCATAAGCGATGGGTAATAAAGTGCCTGGACACTCACTGATTCCGTGATTCTGGCCTTGCACAACTGCAAGACCCGAATTTATAGATCATTGAAGTAGTATGAATATCAATCAAATTTTGAAGATGAATATTTGGGATAAATTCGAAACGGAAGTTGATAAAAATATAAACGTTCTAGTTAAGTTTGTGCCCAATCGGGAGTCTAGTATCGTTGATAATAATTAATTTGTAAGTGCCAAAATAACACGGAGTCTTATGAGAAAATGAATATTTCGAGGATACAAAAAAGATTTACAATTGGGAAATTGCTCTTGTATTGAATATAATAAATTGGCAATATGCTTCCGAATAATTATTTTGCACATCATTTCCTTCCATCATGTATAATTCATGGTTTATTTCATTTCATTAAATTGAACAAGATTTTGTTTTACCTAACTTTGTCAGATTTTCAACTTAGTTAAATGCTATCATCATCATTATTCTTATTATCCCTTTCTTTTATACAACTGATTGTCTTTTTTATAGTTCCATCTCTCCCCTCAGCTCTTCGATGGAATGTTAATAGAAAAATTTTATTTCCACATATTTGAATGAATTTGAAACATCACATTTTAAGGAACCTTCAGACAGTTCACATTCAGGGAAATTCATGAAAAATTCGAAATTTTCAACAATCTTCATAAAAATCAAATCAACCAATATAGCTATCGTATTTCGACTTCATGGCATTAAAACAAACCTTTTAAGCTATGATTGAATTCATTTGAGGCATAATATTCAAAGATATCCCCGGAATTCTGATTTTCAAAAAATACAAAATTTTTGAAAATTTTCGAATAAATCAAAATAACGGTTATTGCTGTCGCCTTCATCTTCGAACTCGGTCAAAGGGACATCCAAAGAAGATTTGTCAGCCATTATTCAATCAATTCAGAACATTTTTTTAAGTTATTGGGGGACAACCGATTTTCGAAAAAATTCAAAAATTGAAAAAACAAGCCGATGAATTAAATTTTAATTAATGGCGATGGGGAGGGCTCAACAATACCTACATTTGAAATAAAAGATTCAGTTCCACCAATTCATTAGCGAACAATTGAAAAAAAATTGTAGCACACACATCCGTATGGACACGGTCTAAAAATTGCATTTTCGGACTTTTTGAATCATAATGCGCCGATATAACACAAAAAATCCAAAACTTAAATTTGAACGATTATAAAGCTTCCATTCGGAAGCAAAAACTCAAGAAAAAAAAACGAGCAGAAATTCAAAATATTGTTGTATCCGGCGAAGAATAAATCAATTACACAATACACAGGTTAACTCAAATGTAATGTAAGTAAATACTTGCACAAGAGCTCCAAAGAGAATTCGTCAAATATCCATATTACCTAAAAGACAATCGTTACCAAGATGAGGGCTTCTTGAGATCCGTTCGATAATAGACAATTGAATCAGGATTCGGAGGAGGATACGGAACAATATATTCACTTTTTCCTATCAAATATGCAATAGAATCAGCGCAAAAAAAGTAGAATTTTTCAATAGAATTCTAATAGAAATTCTATAGAAAACCCATAGAATTCCTATAGAACTTCAGTAGAATTTTCTAGCAAATTCGCTAGGTTTTCTATTGAATTTGTTCGGGCGTGAAACGCTAAAAAACAGAAAGATATTCACAAATTCTTCAAACACACAAATTAATCTCTGCGTCATAACGTTCAATTTTCCATGTTCATCTTGCGCTAATTTTATATAATACAAAAAATCCAAAACTTAAATTTGAACGATTATAATGCTTCCATTCGGAAGCAAAAACTCAAGAGAAAAATTCGAATAGAAATTCAAAATATTGTTGTATCCGGCGAAGAATAAATCAATCACACAGGTTAACTCAAATGGTTGCGGCGATCTATTAATTACAACTGAGTAAATACTTGCACAAGAGCTCGAAAGAGAATCCGTCAAATATCCATATTACCCAAAAGACAATGGTTACCAAGATGAGGGCTTTTGGAGATCCGTTCGATGATAGACAATTGAATCAGGATTCGAAGGAGGATACGGAACAATATATTCACTTTTTCCTATCAAATATGCAATAGAATCAGCGCAAAAAAGTAGAATTTTTCAATAGAATTCCAATAGAAATCCTATAGAAACCCCATAGAATTCCTGTAGAACACCAATAGAATTTTCTAACGAATTCGCTAGGTTTTCTATTGAATTTTTTCAGGCGTAAAATGCCAAAAAACAGAAAGATATTTGCAAATTCTTCAAACACACAAATTAATCTCTGCGTCATAACGGTCAATTTCCCATGTTTATTTTGCGCTAATTTTATATAATACAAAAAATCCAGAACTTAAATTTGAAAGATTACACAGCATCCATTCCGCAGCAAGAAAATGTTACATTTTCGTTCTCCATTAACTGGGTTGATGAAACTCCTTCATCATCCGATTAATTAATCAATCCCTTGCATAACTGGAATCGCATACACACGTCCACCTCAGACAGATTAAAAGGAGGGCGTCGCTCCTGGACACGAGGCATTCGTTAAATGAGGAATTATAATAGTTACAATCAAGTCGGACTGAGTTAAATGGTAACGCAAGAACGTTCGCCTTGGCGTCTGGGCGAGTGGGAAATGCTGGCGCGAGTGCCGTATGGAAAGGCACTGCATATATCGTTCAGCCGGAGGTGTTATAACTGTCATTGTCCTGATATTCCCCACTCAATGGGACGACGCAATCGCAACAAATAGAGAATCATTTTAATTAATGGGGGATTAAATTCATTGTCAGTAAAAATAACGGGTAAAAATGATCCGAAATAGTGTTAAGGGGAAATTTTCCTAAAAGGGATCAATTGAATTTCATGAATTTTTTGATGAATATAAATTTTAATAAACTCTATTCATTGACACCAATTAAAATGTAATTTTTTTACACAGATTCGAAGAAATTTATATTTTTCCAGAAATCGATTTTTCAACGATCATTCAAAAGATTGTCATCAAAGTAGAATTAGTCACAGCTCTTGATTCTACCAGAATATGATGGGGATCGCACAATTCGTTGTTGAGTTACAGCACATTGCACGGATGAAAAAATTCAATAAAAAAAGCTAGCGAATTCGTTAGAAAATTCTATTGAACTTTCTATTAGTTTTTGGCCGATTCTATTGAAATGTTTAGTAGACAATATTCTGTAGAAAAAGTCAATAGAATTCAATTTTTCTATATAACTTATTCTATTGAGATATTTTCTATAGAATTCGTTCGGATCAAATTTTCTAATTTTTTTGGTTTGATTTTCTTGATGGGAAAAAATAAAAATAGAATGAAAATTATACAGAAAAATCAAAATGTAGAAAAATATAGAAAAATTGATTTTTATAGGTTTTTCTATTGAATTTTTTCGTACGTGTGTTTATGCGATTTGAACGAGAAAATCGGGCTTCTCATGATTACTAAAAGAATTATTAGTGATAGCCATTAAAACAGAACTTGAAAAGTATATTTCAATGCCTACTTAATCAAGCAAAATTTTGATGGCATTTTAATTGATGATAGTACTATGACATAAAAAAATAGGAGAAGAAAATAGTGAAATGAGAATAAAAATAAATAAAACCCATTCGGAAGCCAATTGTTAATTTATTAACAACAATAATTATACTAATTTATCAAAAAATGAAATCGTCAACTTGGTTTTAATTATATACTGTCTCTAAATTTTGAAGTCATGAAAAATATACTTTTCGAAAATTTATAACTCGGGAAATATAATTTTTATTACTATTGCATATTCCGGTCCATAACTCCTGATACTCCCATTGCGATCGGCGATTCAAATTGCAGAATAGGAAATATAAATCATGACGCTATGGTTTCGAGTTTAATGCTGAGTATTTATTGACAATGTGATTTATTGTCAAGGGAAATATTAAAAATATCAGGACAACTGCTTCAGTAATTATTCATGCACTAGTAAGCGAATATGTATAACGTGAAAAAAAATAGCGGATTATGACATACAGGTTTTAGTGACAAAAGAAAATATCTCGAGAATTATTCATCCCAGAGAAAAATACCATAAAACCTTTTCCATAGCAGAGGAAATTTCCGCCAAAAAAGGTTATTTGACATTTTCCCTTATCATCACTCGTTTTCGAGATATTTCTATTGAGAAACTGATATGTCTGACACAAAACATCAAGTTTTTTTATTCTCTCAAAATGGATAATTAAATGGATAATTTCGTAAATAAGGAATGGAAACGTGTTTAGTTGTCGACTTCGAGTTACTGGATATTGAAAGGAAACAATTCTGCTCCACCCTCCGCTCCTATAATTTTTCTCAATTTTTGCATTAGCTAATTTCCTCCAATATCCATAAAATCGAGAGTAAAAGCATGCGGAACATGACCCAGAAACTCGTAATTTATTGCTTCTAAACACAATTGCAGTTGTCATAACATTCCTTTACACTCCCGAGATAGTCTTGAGACTAATATTAAAAATAAAAAACATGGTAAGTAGTCCCCGGGGGCCAGCGTATGCACACTGCAGTCTAGTTAGAGCTGTGGAAAGTTGAGCAGCGTTGAGCGCGGTCACTAAGTGGAGTGGTGACCCGAGGGAACACCTATGGAGAAACGCTGTGTGCGTAGATCGGAAATATGTGTCACATATAGAGCAAGAATTACATTATTGTTTTCCATTTCGCATCATGTGTGTTGAGAAAATTTATTTTTCAACAATTAAAGGCGTTTATTTAACATAATTTGGTTTATCAGTTTATCAACTGGTCTTTTCCATATGTAACCAATGTAGTCACCTCTGGTGACTACACCACCACCTCTGGTGACTAAAACACCAATTAGGATCAATCTGGGGATTAAAATTAAATAAACAAGTGGATAATGGTATTTTAAATAAATCAGTATAGTAATTATTGCTAACAATTTCGCAATTTGCTTTCGAATGGGTTTTCTTTTTTGAAATTCACTATTTCAAAAAATATCGCATTTTGGAAAACTATCAATTTTTTTGAATGTGTATGAAAATAGTATATTTCGATACGAGTGTGTAAAACTGTTTTTTGATCCGGCGAAGGGGTGCAGCGCGGACTTTTCCGACGAATATCGAACGCTATTTTCATCAGGATGTGTAGAAAGTGGGATTTTGCGCAAAATTTCACTTTATGCACATGTGATGAAAATTAAATGTTAACGGTACACTGTTAGCAAAAACTGAAAT